GAGGGTGCACTCGATCCCTTCATCCAGATCATTGATAAAGACTCATGTAATCATGTAGCACTTAAGAAAAAGAGAAACATCAGTTTCCATTCCTGATGAGGACTCTAAGTGCTGGCACTCCTGTGATGACCCTAATAAATATTTGACAGGGTGCTTGCATGTCCAAAAGCATTTGACCATGGCATATGTTGCACTGACGATATGATGGTGGACAACAATTGATCTACTGCTGTCCGTAGAAGACCAGATGGTCTTGGTCTCCTGCTGGGCAGTGAAGTTATTGAGGGTTTCCAGCCATCTTCCCTTTTGTTTGGTTCCTGTCACAAAGCAGGGAGAAGCAGTGTTCCTAGCCTGAAGAAACAAAGGGCTCCAGTAATATCAGTAACTCAGGGATTTGATACCCTGACCAAACTCAGCTGTGTCACTGTGTAAACTGGAATTACTCACTAAAGGTGGGATTACCTCATGGCAAGGGTGTGGACAGTGACAAAGCCTTGCCTTCAGATATTCTTGGCTAAGGATAGAGTATAAAAACGATATTGGATATTAAACAGAACTGTGCAGGTTGGGCTGTGCCAGACTGCTAACCTTTCTGTGCAACCTGGCTTTGCTAAAGACCTTTTCTTTCCCCTCTGTTTGTGATGTGGTGACCTTAAGGACATTCCTTCTCAGGAAGGGAAGTCAAACTGGAGTACAACCTTACTGTAGTGCGATTCATCATCTCCCCGCATCCCAGAGGCCTCATCCACGTATATATGATGATGCCTACATTTCCTCTCTGGATAAGAATGAAGATCTGCTTGTCATTTTTGGAGTCCAATTGCTCCACATATATAATTAAGCTCTTCAGTGGGAATAGAAGGACATTTCTGTGTATTAAGTAACTGAAAACAGTGTTGGTTTCAATTGAATGATGCCCCTCCTGAGGACAAATTGTTTTTTCGTGCACAAGTCTCCCTGTTCTGGTAGGCAGCTCACTTTCCCAGCTCCAGGAGGCCGTTTAACACAAGACAGCTGAGTTCTTTCCTAAATATCAACAGATGCCTCCTCTAATTAGAAGAGGTTTAGACAAGGAAGCTTGTTTATGAAGTTAGATATGTACACTCACAGCTATTTTTGTCTGTAATGGAATCAGAGTCCTTACATCTGGCTACCAGCTCAACATCCTCATTATTGCCTTTTTTTAAAATCAGGAAAGAGAACAAAGAGGACTGAGTTTACCAGAAGATTGAATTATTTTGTATTGTTTCTGGATTTTTCTCTTCAGACTTTGCAAAAGAGTCCTAGGCACTTCTGTGTTTGTACATGTGATTTTTATGTGCATTTATGCATGACTGGCCTATACAATCTCTGGTGAAGGTTTTTCTGCCAGGGTAGCTTGCCATTTCCATGTTGTGGAAACATTAAGTATTGCCCACCCTCTGCCAAGAAGGCAGAGGGTCTGATTCCCCTGGAATATTTTGTATGGACCCTGTGCATTTGGCAGAGGAGATGCCTGGGGCTCAGCTGCAGGATAACAGGGTCTAAGAAAATCAGAGAAACCTGCTTGTGGCTTTCATGTTTTCAGGATCCCTGTGTCAGTGAACAGCAGTTGTGCTTGCTGAGAGGTGGTACAGCAGAAACAGCATGTCTGTGAGCACGTACCTTGCAAGAAAGCAAATATTTGCTGTGCAGAGTGCTTGCTTATTAGCTGTCTTGCTCCATGTGTCTAGCTGTTTAGCTTCTGCTGAGCTGTTTGTATACAAAGTGTGTCTGTATCCCTCTCCTCTCAGACTTTGGTTGTGCAGGGGAGGCCCATGTGCAGTGGCTGCTTAGAAATGGGATTCTGATCTGGGTGTTACTGATTGCTCTTTGTGTCTTTTCCCCTCCCCAGGAAAGTGGAGGACCTGCAGTTCCGTGTGGAGGAAGAATCCATCACAAAGGGGGATCTGGAGGTAATTCCTAACACCCTTAGCAAAATGTGGGATTAAAACCTGAAATTGCATGTGGGGCCTCACCTGAGTAATTTCTGCCACCTTTTGCTCAACTTGAAACAATACATTATCTTTAAATAAACAGCTTTGGACCTGCTGTGAACACCATGGTATAAACTGTGAAGATTGTTCTTTGGTATGTTGCCCAGTGACTGATAATGCTGGGAGCTGCCTAGAATTAATCACATGCAGCCAGCCTGGCTTTAAATGTTGCCAAGCCATATTAAAATCTGACTGTATCTGAATGCATTTCAACATACGTTTTTCTGTTGTAGAAATTATTTGACTGCTCAGTCACTGTTCCTGCAGTGTCCGGTTATTAGCAGCTAATTGGCACGCACAATCTCTGTCAGATGCTATTCTATTCCAGCCAAAATGCCATGTATTGTTTGACCTGCAGTACCCTCATGTGGAGTCCCCTGCCCACAAGAGTGGGGTTTGGCACTACGATACCCTTTCATTTGGAAGGGCTGTTGCTCAGAGTGGTGCTGTTGCAGTGAATATTGTGCAACCTGGAAGTGGTATTGGGAGCTTGCCCTTGAGTGGGAGGCTTTTCGGGGCGGGGGGGAATGTCAAGGGACAGAAATGTCAAGGGACCTGCTCCTGTGCTTCACTGTCGGTCATATCAATAAAAGCCCAGGAAAATGGGAAAACTAGGCAATGGAGTATGTTGCTATGGCTTTGACCCTCTTGGCATAAACCTCTCCTCTTTATCCAGAAGCTGAAGCAGAGTAATGTGTTTGACGGGTATAAATCAGCAATGCACTCATAGCAGACCTTTGCTAAAGGACAGCAAGTGCAGTTTCTGCCCTGTGTGTGGGTGCAAAATCAGGTTTCTGTTGATTCCTGAGCTTAGTTGCTAGGTTTCCCCAGTGCTTTAGAGAAGGGTAATTGATCCATCATTCCCTTTGAGAGCAGTGAATTGTCCCTGTGTAAGCTTTAAGTGTTTAAGCCTGGCTGTGGAGTAATGGCAATGGGACCAGGGTTAGCTAGCAAGTATATTTAGATATATTGAATAAAAAAAGCCACCACATTTTAGCAAGATGGTAAGCTGCTGTGACATAAGTGCTCCTATAACTGCAGGTCCCAACCTGAGGATAGATCTGACTTTCATTTGGGCTGGGAAGGAGTTGCTTTGCCATGGGGATGCGGCCAAGTTTCTTGCAGGCTGCCAGGGTCCTGTCCCCACTTCCATCTTCATCTGTACAGAAGAACAAAAAGCTTATTAGGGAAGAGTCATAGAGCAGCTTGGTTTCCTGCGATCCAGAGAACTGGAATATTCCCCCACGGGTCCAACACCGGTGACAGCACAGACACTGTCAGAGGGCTTTGCTGTGATCAGTTTTAACATTCTGTCCCATCTAAGTTGGATGCTCAGACTGAATGATTGACCCACTGGAGTTAATTCTCACCTTCCTGCTTTGTCGTGGAGACAGGATTTCCAGAAGCAAGTAATCTACGTAACGAAACAAACCTCTCATTGCAAATCAGGGGCATGAGTGCTCCTTCGTGTTGCAGTATGTTTCCTGGGAAATGGTTGTCCCTGATATTCTTCATGTAAAATTGCAGTGAAGTCAACCAGTGGCTGCTAGCACAGTCCTTTGCATCCCTAGCTAGAGCTCAACTAACCACCCAAATACCAAAAGTAAAACCCAGTGACAGTCCTCTCCCCTCCTCTGGTCTTGCAGTCCTCTTACACCAACAGCCCTCTTCTGAGTACTCGGAGGAGAATGTGTATCTTGTACTTAACAGCCAGTAACAGACATGATGGTAACAAAAGATTATCTCCTCTGTGATCCCTGGATCTAGGGTTTCTGCGGAAGGCTAGGCTAAATCCCATTTCTCATAATATCATGTAGTTTTTGAACAAAGCTGGGACTCTCAGGTGGTAAGCATGGCAAGCAGCATCCCTAGAAGCTTTTTGACCAAAGAAATCGATGTGTCTGAAGCCTGGAGATATGGGGCCAATTTTTGGACCTCTGATAAAGAAGTAGAAGCTGTGGACTTAGCCTTGAAATGTAGTTGTGAATTCAACCCATTTTTGATCCTGGTTGGCAATGCTGATGTTATAGTGCTTTGGAAGGTGAAACACAATTGCAGGAAAACAAAATCTTTTAAGAAAGGCTTTTTATGGTGGAAGTCTGTGGTGTTACAGGAAATGTTAGCCTCTTCAAGGAACTCTCTCATACTCATCTCCTGGAACCTACCTCATACCTTAAACACCAGTGGGAAGTCAGTTTGTAATTTCTGAATACTAATTTAAGGCTAATAGCAAGAAGTAAGTCTAAAATTCAGATCTGAACTTCCTCAAAGTGCAGGAAAACTTTGGATTTGAGGCTCTGAGTCATACTGGCTAGGCAAACCAATTTGCATAAAATAAGAAATAACATGGGATTTGATGCGAATCTTACGTGAAGCTATATTTAAGGACTGTAAAACAGTTGATCTAACTTTCTTCCCTGATTATCTTTTTCCACTATTTTCACGTGTTTTTCCAGACTTGGAAAATAGCAGGATTGGTAGATACTGAGCAAGCTTGGCTGGAAACATGAGTGTCAACCTCAGGAGTCTTGAGAGAGTTTCTTTGGGAGATTCAGAGATTAGTTTTGTAATAGGTCAGCATCTTCAGGTAGCCAGTATCTGATGTGCTGCCACCAGTTAAGGTCATTTTCAAAAGTTTGTGTTGCTGAAATTTCTCTTGGGGATTTTGAGCTAGTGTAAATCAAGGAAAATTCATTAGTATCAATGGAATAATTATCCCTGTAAATAAAATTAAGCCTGGAGCTCCGTCTTGAGATGTGGATCTTTGAGCTTTGCAGAGAGCGGGAGAAGCCACTCGGTACAAAATTAAATTTCTTTATTTTTCTTATTAGGATGCATTCAGCCACGTTTTGCACTTCAGTGATATTAGTTGGGGGTTTTGACAATGTTTGGGTTTTTGAGACCACATTGGTTTTTTTTCTTCCTTCAGGGGTCAAATAGACCACATAAAATTATGGAGTAGTCTGAATATATCTGCCAGTTGAGATCTTGACCATCTATGAATACATGTATAATGACACCTTTCAAGTCATAAGAGAAAACGTGGATTTTTAAAACTTCAGTTTCCATTGTTTGTACACAACTAACCAAAACTTCCTTTATTGTAGGAAAGGGCAGAAAATCCCTAAAATTGGTTCCAATATAAAGAGGGGGAAGCAAATAATTATATGGAAAATGAAGGGCAGAAAATGGGGGTAAAAAAAAAGGGTTCTGATCAGGTTGGTTTGGTTTTTGGTAGGTCCAGTTTAATTCAAAGAAAAATGTTGGTTTTCTAAGCTAAAAAAATGTGAAGGCCAGAGTCTGCATGCATTTTCCCATGTCTCCTCTCCTCTTTTATTTATGGGAAATTTTACATGATATTACAGTGGTAATTGTAGAGTCCTGAGGTTTGCCACCAAGTGCAGCTGTATATTTTAAAGCAGCTTCTGCTTTAAAAGTGAAGGGCACTGAAGCAATGCCCTGAGTCAGTGCTCCTGGTTTTGGCAGCTTACGTAAACTTCTTGTGCTTAGTTTACTCATCTGTTTAAAAAACCAAAAAAGCAAAACCAAAACAATAGTTCTATTCTGTGAACAAGGCTGTTAGAGTCTTAGTGTGCAAAAATCACTTGGAAATTCATAGCAGCCCTATTCAAACCTAAAGCACTGATTTATATAACAGTTTGGTACCTAAATTTCTTTGATTTGCTTTCAGTGCAGTATATTTTTGGTTTTAGCAACATGCCATGTACAGTATGACCTACCTTTTTACCCCACCTAGTGCAGGGTTCAAGCTGTCTCTGGAGCAAAAAGAGGATGGGATCTTCCAACTCTTTTCAGTCTATCTTGTGATTCTTCTTGAGGAGAGATGCGGAGAATCATTGCAAGGTCTTTGCATTCTCTTATGTGGTGCAAGGGTCTTGTACTGGCGGTCTGCAGCAGTGGGAGCTTTGCTTTTTAGGAAGTGTCTTCATTATAGTCTCCATGCAGGAAAACACTGAAGCAGCTTTCTAATGCAGAGGGATGTTTTCCCATCACAGATGCCATTTTCTTGCAAATAGCCACTACGTACCATGTAGATTCCCGTAGTGACCATTTTCTGTTTGGTTGGATTTTTTCCTGCTTGTTTAGTCTTTATTCTCCTCCTGTTGTGAACTGCCTTTCCTTGTCTTGTACACTGAAGA